TTGGTCAGAATGAAAATTATAAAAGCAGAACAATATTGGTTCAGTCTAAGCACACCAAACAAGTGTCTTGCATAGGCACATGATATAATTATACCATAATAATATAGTGTATCCATCTGTCCATACATACATATAGTAATTGTATTTCTGAAAAGAAACGAGAGCTGGTAAGGGCAGGGGAAACCCAGTCCAAAGTCCAACTTCCAAATATATGAAAGATAATCTGGTGAAAATGTTAACCCTATACTCAGAATATGTTTTAAAAATCAGAAATTTACTTTCTGTTTTAGCTCGAGTATTGAAACAGGAAGCAAACAAATTATAAACGGATAGCATAGAATAAAGGGTAGTTTCTGCTTGTTAACATCTTTTTAAAATAGTATAGTCTGACAATTACAATTTACTTTTTTTTCTCTCAATTTCTCTTCCATTTAGTGGACAGTATGTGCTCAGGCAATGGCTTATTATTTTCTGCCTCCCTTTGAGTACGGTTCCTCTTGGTTTTTAACTTTCCTTAACTTGGAAGAAATACAAGTTTTCCCTCTTCAGTGATATTCTGCTTTTAAGTTGCAAAATAGTAAAGCTTCCATCTGTTCCAGTACAAGTGTATTGGCCTCACTTCAGATTATTTCTTATATTTTGCTAATTTCTTAGGTTGCTATAGGAACCTTCCTTTCAGTGTTCTCCTAAGTCCTTTTCCTCTGGACCAAGTCTGTGCATTATTTGTCACCCTGAGGTGCACTTTTTTCTAACACATTTTCCCTGCAAGAAGACACAGAGTTTATATTCTTTCACAAACTCTTCTGCAACTAGTTAAACAAGATTTATTATTTCCTAATTATCTTTATGGAATATCCATCCTACCTTTCCTGATTCTCTCCTCAAAGAACTTCACCAGTTTAGCCCAATACAGTCTGTGTTTCTGCTCTTTTATTGCATCAGCTCTACTTTCTACATCTAGGAGTAATTTCATTTCTCTTTTGGAAAGGGGTTAGAAAATTTGGAGTGTCTGTATTCATTGCAGAGTATGATACAGATCTTCCCCTGATGAGACTGATGTCTACAGAAATTCGAATATGGTTCATGACATCTTTCAGAAATGATCTGTTTTATATATGTATGTCTGTAAAAAAATAAAGCTAACTAGTATTTAAATTAAACTAATTTCACTTTTAAATTGTGTAGCTTGCTATAGTGTAAGAATATTGCAGTTCGGGGAGAAAGACTTTGAGTGTTAAGTTTCTATTGATGAAGTTTGTGACCTTTTTTTTAGTTTAATGGAAGTAGCTGGCTGTATATTTAGCTTTGCTCTTCTTTTGTTGTGTATTTGTTGCAAGAGAAGATGCCATTTATGTACTAGGATGCTGGATGTTAGGCTTTTCAATTGGAAAAAAATTTAATAAAATCTATAATGAAACCAAAATGTGTGAAAGATGGAGAGAAAGCCTGCTCAAGAATTGGGTCCCAGTTGAACTGAATTCTGCCCTTACAACATGCTCTTTGCTGTATTATATTCAATTGTACAAAACCTGCAATAGTTTCTGTGTACTCATACTATGTGATCCTTTGCTTCTCTGATTGCGGTGTAATGACTTCTTTGAAACACTGTGATGAAAGGCTCAAAAAGTTAATATAAAGCTTTCAAATAGCCTGTGAACAAAACCAACCTGCAAAGAGAGATTGCTCCCAAGAAAATGAAAAAAATGTGTGCCAAGCACAAGTGCTCTGTCACACGCTGTTGTGTATCATTCTGTAGGTACATTTTATAACTAAAGCTCCTGTGTATAATTGTGTATCCTCTATTGTTTCAAGTGTAAGTGTTCAAATCTAGGGTTTGCAAAATAGCAAGTAACCTTCCAGGTAGGTTGCAATTGATAGTGACACTCGAATGTAATTTGGAGAAAATATTTGAAATACGAAGTTTTCCTTATATTGGGCATACTGATTAATGTGTTCAGTTTCAATTTTGGCTTGATTTTACTGTTCTTCAGATGTATTCTTTTCTTACCTTTCATCATAATATTTTAGTTGTCCTCGGTAACTTTTGTATGTATGTATGTGACATTGTGGAGGCCCTTACACTGTGAGCCTTTCTGATTGTGGGAGATTTGTAGTAATGATAGCATAACACCAAACTGAACACTTTCTTTTGAGAGGTTTTTGCCCTGAGGTTGGAGTAGACAGAGTTTTATGATTTGGGTGAAGAATATATAGCATGATCACAACTAGTTCTGCCACTAATAAAGTTAGTTTGGCGAGTGAATTATATGGCATAAATATTTTGTGTGTGAAAGTGAAATTAATAGAGGCATTTTGCCAGAAAAAACAGACAATTTTTAGTTTTATGTTTATGTTATTATTACACTACTCACAGGTTACCAAACAGGCAGCTTGAGTCTTTTATTCTTGTAGATACATTATTATATAGTAAAAATAAAAATTCCATTCCTCATATATTCCATAATTATGACCATTAGAAGAGTTCTTGCTGTGTTATCGTATTCTCTTATACATGATGCCTTTAAACCTCTGTGAAACTTACAGCCCAACTTTACACACAGAGTCAAATGTGTTTATTATGTCCTATATAGTATCATATTTAAGTGGCAATCTGCTATGGTGGCTTGCTCTTCCAGTAGTCATAAGATAAGATGAGATCTAATGTTCTGAAATGAAGAAAGTGTAGACTTGTTTAAAAACTTTTCTTCAGTTCTGAGGCATTTATACAATTGTGTATTTATGTGGTTTTTTGTTATTTTTCAATTTCACATTTGTTATCGTTTGCTTAGGTAGTCTGGCTTTTCAATCTAAAGATGTCAATGTAGGATTGCAAATGTATAAAGGTGATGTGGAGCTATAAGTGAGAGATTGTTTATTTAAGTGATAAGGTAACTTTTAAGATCTCTTTTACTTTCAAAAATAGGAAAATGTGACAATTGACATTTTTAAAGACATTGCATATGCTATTTTGTCAAGAAAAATGTCTGATTCAGGAATGCACAGCTACTTTAAAATGCACTACCATTTGGACTGCTTGGCAGTTTTTGACTATGTTAAAACTTCTTGACGCAAAACATGTATTTGTAGAAAATGATGCTAATTAATGGTTTAAGCACGCTAGCTGAGTTTACTAAGTCAATTATTTTGATTTATTTTTCCTTATTTTGTCTGATGTATTCCAATAAAGTGTTTCATAGATGAGCCAGAGGTGGCCGAGGAAGATTCCCTTTGGGTGGGGTTCCCTGCAATGGGAGTTACAGCAGCAGAGGCTCTGTCCTCCTTCCCTCCTGCTGCAGGATAGAAGGTTCCTTTTCGGATACTCCAAAGCACAGACAGGAATGGTGAGGAGGAGGAGTGGCAGAATGAAGTTGTTCTACATCTGAAACAAATATTTTCATATGGATCTGATCCTACTAGCAATAGGACTGGTCACGCGCAATTGTAACATGCACTGAGGCATTCCTTGTCGTAGTGTGTTGAAGCAAGACTTTGTCATGATGGTAGAAACAATTTCTTAAAGCTATCCCTGACAACTCCATTTGAACAAAGATCAGACATGTGGTGTGGAATAGCAGCTCCCATTGGTACTGGCACTGGCAAAAAAAAAGTCACAATCTTCTACTTTCAACTGCATTGATTATTAGCAGCAGTGGAAGTTGCAAAGGCAATGCGAGAGACCCTTTTTTGCATTCTGTCATCTAATTGTTCACGGTAAATTTTCATGTAACATCTGGACCCTGCCTGTACCTCAGGAATCATAGCTGATACTACTTGAAATGGACTTTTCCTATACAGAGACTTTATCTTCTGTGTAAATCCTTCAAACAGTTCTTTTTTAAAAGTGACTTACTTGTGGAGGCATCTGTAGGCGGGACTTGTGGGGAACATGTTAATGTATTTTTTATGTTAGTCTTTTCTCCCTTTTTTAGGTTGAGTAAGCAATATGTGTAATAATTTCAAGATTGAATCTACGGAAATACAGCTGTTTAGAAATACTGACAATTGAAAGAAAAAGTCAAATAATAGGGAGATAATACAAATGTACATTTGATAACTATCTCCTATTTTACAATGAATAGTTTTCTATATGATTTCCATTTCTGTAGGACCTAGACAATGATCAGTGTTGCTCTGCAGAGCCAGCAGGGAGGTCATTAATGCAGTTATGTCTTTAGGTCTGAATTGTCACTGTCAAGGATCCTGCCTCATGAAACAAAAGAAACTATATTTGCATGTCTCTGGGGAATATATAATATTTACCACCAAATATTTACCATACTTACTGCCTGCTATAAGACATGCTATTTCTGCATCCAGTATGAACTATTCTTTACCATACGCTTTTGCAGGATGCAGACTGAAAAATACTTTTCATCAGAGCTGTTCAGTAAGTTCAATGTAGAACAAAGAAGTTATTTTTCTACAGGAGTGCCAACCATTGCAGATCACCCACTTTCCACTTTTTATTACCGATCACGTACCCCAGAGCCTTTTAAAGAATTGAAGCCATAGTCTATTTGATTTGTGAGGTCTGTACATGCATGTGTAATTGTAAAATCTGAATTTCTAGAATTGCATTGGGATGTATCTAAAAATGTGTAGCAGTTGAGTGAAATACTGAACAGAAAGCATATCAGACTTAAAATACTTAATTCTTCCATACAACTTAGAAAACAAAAAAAACATAGAACGTGAAGGTTCATGGTAGATAATTTCAAGAATAAAGTCCTGGTGATGGTAGTTCTACTTAGTTGACTTAATTCTTACCTTTGAGACTAGTCGAGGATACCTTGTTTCTAACGCTTATTTTAATCACATAAAGATGATTTTTGTTTGGATAAAGAAAGGAAAGGAGGTTGGGTTTTTTTGCTGTTGTTTCAGTTTTTGTTGTTTTTTTACCTCTAAAATGGTAGGAGACATTTTTTGTGTTTTGGAACTAGTCCTGATACCATTACTATGCTGTGCTTTGTGTTGATTTTGACAGTATTTTCTTCTTTCAGGTTGGGTGGGACTATATCTGCATACAAGATAGTGCCAGACGAAATAGAAGAAATCAAGGTATGGTATTACTGCCTTTCAACACTGAATTTGTTTGCTGGGAGAATTTCAGAAATGTTACATGAAAGAAGCCTTATGTTTAAAACTATTTTAATAGTCCAATATTAAGTCCAAAACATTTAAGACTATATGTTTTAAAGCTAAATCTAAAACTGATTCAGTAGTAAACAATATATTAGCAATGGTTCCTTCAAATTTATTAATTGATACATATATTTAAACTGTTGGAACATTTTGTTATCCATGCAATTTTACTCTAGTATCATAGAAAAATTTAGGCATCTAAAATAGAGCTCTTCTTATTTTTAGAGGTACAGTTTACCTTCAGCTTACATTGACTTCAGTAGGATTTGTTGATGCCAAAAACTTGTTTAATTCAAGGCACCTATATTTAGATACTTAAAGATAGCTGCAGCACTATTGTAAGCATTGAGTTACATTTTATTAATAAGAATACATATAAATTTAGTGCCCTTTTGCTTCTGAGGTCAAAAGTGCATCAAGGTCTTCCAGTGTTATCTCTGCCTTTAAAAGGGGACACATGGAAATCATTGGTACAATCAAAAACTCTTTGATTTTGAGGAGTACAATAAATACTGACATTTACCTTCAATGAAATGAGCATTATTACAAAATTCACTTCAGCTGTGTCCACTCCTGCAAAGTACTTTAGCAATTTGTGTCAATTTTGTTCCTCAGTGAAATAAAAGATTGGTACTAGCTGCAAGTTTGGCCTCGATTTGTTAGCATGGTCTATGTAACAGGTTCTTCATTTATTCCTTTGGATTTGCACAGACAGTCAATCAATCTGACCTATTGCTTAGTCTTTATAATTATTTAACCCAATGTTTCATTTCATATATGCATATGCAAAGAGAGTCAAGAATAGTGTAAAATCTAGTAATGGAAGTGGTTTATATAATCGTCTGACCTAGACATGACTTAACAGCATGTAAAGTTGTGAAGATTTATTCCTCTTCAATTAATATCCCGCACACTATAAGCAGATCCTGTGGTTGCCTCTATCTGCACTAGAAGCAAAACTATCACTCCACCATCACCAAAACTGAAATTTGTTTCCCGCCTCTGAAACCCAAAGACTCCTCTATCTTGAATTGTTAAGAGAAGCATGATCTATTAGGGTAGATCCAACATTTAGGCTTTGAAATCCACAAAAAAAAGAAAGACAGTTTTCAAAACTAATTACGTTGAATAAGATTTTCATGATGTTCAGAGAATTGCAGCAAAACTTTTAAGAACTGTGAAAAACCCTAAACCATAATCTTTCTCCTTTAATGTAAGAATACCAAACCCATTGACATTTTACTGATGTTGAAGACAGAGAAAAAGAAGCCAGTATTTCTGTCTTCATTGTGCAAAATGAATTCAATGAACAAATAAAAATGGAACTCCAGGAAATTAGAAGTAACTGCATTTTTAGAAACTTAACTATTTTTAGCGTGGTTGGTAATCATGGAAATATGTTTTTCTCCTTGCCTGCTAAGGAGGGCTTTTCTAAGTTCTCAGCTCTTTCTTGCTCAGCCTGGTGATTAAATACTTGAGATCCTAGGGATTAGTGAAAGGGTTAAGAACTTTCTTTTATTCATCTCAGTGCTGCCAGCATGTAAGAGTGGAGGGAGGATTGTACTGTTCCAAGCTAGAGCTACTTAAAGTGATAGGAAAAAATCACCTATTTCACTTGTTTCTACTAGCTGTCTCGTCATGGTGAGGAAACGTGCTTTTTTAGGTTGTGACTGAAGTCAGCCCACTGAAAGATGCACGTTAAAAGATCTGTCTTCCTGAACTTGTCCCTTCTTTTTCCCGAGCAGAGAGAATGAAAATTTTATGATTGAGGTTGTGTAATAGAACAGATGTTATGCATATGAAATAAGGCACTACTGGAAGATGCTAAAACATAATAGCAGTGAGTATAATAGATATCTATATCAAATATGGAAAAGAATTCTTCTGTGACTGAATTAATGAGGCAGCAGAACTTGAAGAAGTTATTTTGAATAGCAGCTGCCAAATAGGGAGACTGAGTATCCTTGCAGTAAAAAGAGGGGGAGTCTTAAATGCTGAAAAGCTTCTCCAAGCAGATTAAAGTGGAAGAAAGGGGGAAAAGAAAATAAAAAAGAGAATAAATGAGGCTAGTGGAATGTTACATTTAGAGAGGGCGGAAGACAGAATCTTCCTCCATGCACAATAGTTAAGAGGTATTTTGCCTCACAACTATCCCTTCCCTATTTAAACATGAAATTTTAAGATTTTTAATTTGATGAAAATGCAACAAAAATATCTCCATTCCTGATATATGATTTAGCTTGGCAGGTTGCTTAATTGAATCCACAGGAGTTGGAATAAGCATAGTGTTTTCTGATAGTCCTTACAAAGTAAACTATGCTTGCTTAATTTGCAAAAGAGAATACATTTTCAGGCAGAGAACAGTGATCATTATGATAAATGCATAAGTCTCTTTGACACAATTTCCATATGTTCTAGAAATAGAGCTAGGATAACCTCTTTTACAGCTCAAAATAGTTCATGGGGAAAACAAGTTCACAACTGTACTGGCTTTGTTAATTCACATAATTTACGTCTTAGGTGGAATACTATTGTAAGCAGAGACTGTATCTGTGAGTCTGTGGAAGAGAAAAAAACGATAAGCCTTAATATACCTGCCAGTTGAGTAGTATCTTTAGAATGTTAATGAAATGTACCTTTCTAAATATTAATAATTTCAAAAACGGCCTGTATAATGCATAAGTATGTGAATTATTTGTTCATATTGCATACACAGCTATTACAAGTATGTTTATAGTGTTTCTGTTCCAGAGTATTTAGAATATATTAGTACTTGTATCTGAATATATATACATAATTCTGCTGTGTGTATACGTGTGTGAAGTCACATGCGGTTTGGATGTCTAGAATATTGCCTGTGCGTATGTGTGCCTGTTTCTATGAACGAGTGTGTTTGGTCAGTGTTGGCTGTAATCAAAGCTGCCCATCCCACTAATTGACTGGGATGTTCATAGGTATTTGAATTAGGAGAATTTTTGACAGAAATGATAGCATGTGCGCTAACTGCCCGCAGGCCCCTTATCAAGGTTATAAAGAGTTGCGTGGAACCAGTCGCTTTCTACATCAGTCTGAAATTGAGGAAGAAATAGCAGAATTACATTTTTTTAGTTCTCATTAATGACATTCAAGACAAGATACAATTTTATTTACAGTTTGCAGTTTGCCTCAAGCATAAAGCACAATTTATGACTATTATCAATGAGGGAAAGTTTGTCTGATGTACATGTAGATCTTGGTAGCTGTGAACAGTGACATCTTATGATTCATAATACCGTAAGAGATGCTCTTTTTGATTGCAGCATTATGTCATAACAAAGGAAATGCATGGTATTGTGAAGGACAGCTTTTCTGGAACAAAACTCTGTCAGTGAGAAAACTACCCATTAAAAGATTTTTGAAAATATTTGGGTTTGGGGATTCACAGGTCTACAAGAGAGATAAATGTAATTGTTTTTTTTTTAAAGTGCTTCTCCATATGCTTTTCAGGTAGGGCTATATGTGCTTCATCATTTCAAGACCAGAAACAAATTTGGCAGTGACTGTTCGATTCATGAAAGTAATGTGCACAAGAAATACATTGCCACTGTATTTTGTTCTAGTAATACTTCTAGTCTGAGACAGATGTTCCAGTGTGGAGAAATGGTTAAATTGTTACCTCCTCTAGTAGTCAATTTTAAGGAAACTTTTATCAGAAAGTTTTTTTTGTATTGGTTATAATTTAGATTTTAAGTAGTCCTGGAAGAAGACAGGAATTGTTTTTAGTCCTGTTATTTGCTATTTCACACAGAAATATACTTTATACTCCTCAAGGAACATCCCTAATTCTTCAGTAGTTGGTCTTTAAATGAAACCATGTGTGCATAAAATATTAAAGGCTGCATTTGAGACTACAGACCTTTTCCCCTAAATAATAAGGTCAGTGCTCTTTATTCTTTAGAAATATTTGTTCTCTTAATAGTATAATATATGCAAATCTTTTTTATGGAGAGCTAAAACAGCCTGGGATATTCCTGTCAAAATGTTTTCAGTCAGTTAGGCACTAGATTCCTGTGGTATAGAAATCCAAGAGTTGAAAATTGTGAGAAAGATGAGGTGAGAGAGGGATGTAGCCAAAGGGGAAAAGGACAGCTTGTGGTCTTAGACGTTAATTTCTCTGGATGACTTAGAAATTCAGGAGATTTAAACTTTTCTACACAATCATATTCATGAACATCTTTGTGAACAAAGTAAGTTTATCTAAATATCACTGCTGACTGTATTTCAGAGCAAAGGTGGACTCTCTGACATCAAAAAATACACTTTGAAATGACTATAAATAAAAACACTCTATCCAGCTGATTCCTCGTCTTTCCCTGAGATCTTCTGTTTTATAGATCCTATGGTGTCAAGTACCTACGTGATACTGTATGCCAGAATCTGTCCTTTATGTCCATAGGAGGAGCTGATGAAACTTATGCTACCTCTGAGGAGAGGTACCTCAGAGCGGAGCACCGTTCCTTTTGGCATCTAGTGCTGAAGAGCCTGATCCACTTCTTTAATTTGGAGGACACACTAGCAGATATGTGTGGATGACCCAAATTTCTTTACATCTGTTAGTGGTCAACCTCTGATCATTGTTAGGAACACTGAATGTATCTCAAGCACTTTGTTTCTGCTTTTCTGGCAAGGACTCCAAATACCTAAATGCTCTGTATAACAAAAAGGATACTCACTAACTTTACACATGAGAACAGCAATTACTGTATCTTGTTTTCCTGCTATCTGCATCTTACCTTTCACAGGCTCTGTGGTCTTGCAGGATGCTTGGCCTCAGATATGACAGAGGACACCACCTCTGGAAGGGAGGAGTCCCTTCCTCTTGCAAGCCATCTCAAATGTTGAAGGCATTGAGGCATTATTAGTAATTCCTGTTCTAA